CTCCTGTAAGCTGAGATTTTGGAGTTGGCAGGAAACGCAGCACGGGACAACAAGAAAGGCCGAATAACTCCGAGGCATATCAAGCTGGCTGTGGCCAATGACGAGGAGCTGAACCAGGTAACACAGTGCTCTATACGGGACACATACGTGACACATACGTGTATGCTAACACATCAAACTGGCCAGCGTGTTTTACACCTTTCGCCAAAGTTTATTGAAGGTTTGACCTTAAAGGTTGTTTAAACATTGATGCATGTTTTCAGGACTGCTCATAAGAAGACAAACAAGGAGAAGCGTAAATACTTGCTGATGTAACCAACCCCTGGTTGGTTGAGTTGCACGTAAATGTTTAAAACAAATGTTAATATTAGAAAAAGATGACCCGTCTAAATACAAACTTCAGTTTGTAATGATGAGCTATCCACGCCCAGCTGGCCTGTGTGGAAAAGGTCACCTTAACATTTGAACTGGTTTTGCCACCTTTGGCCACAGCAGCTGAGGTCGTTCAGCCCCACTGGACGGTTCAGAGTACGAAGCCTGTTGACGGTCGTGCCTCAGTCTGGTTTCAGTCTGGCCTTTCACATCATTTCGTTTGTTGTCTTTGTAGAGGTTTACTTGCTGCTGCGCATGCTTGAACTTCAGGCCATAAACTTACGGCGACCGTGAAATGGGACGGTCAGGTTTGCGTCAGCGCTGTCTCGGTGGAGTTTAATAAACTCGGCCGTCTGCTCCTTGCTGTCTGAAATGTAACAGGACACTGCTGTAAATTCTCGACCGTCTCACACGTCTGTTTAATCAGTTTTTGTTTGTTTTTTTGTCCCACCTGTTGGTTCTTTTGCCATCAGAATTATTGACTAAAGGCCAAGAAAGATGCCTGACGGATTTACTTTACCAATCATTTTTCTGTTTGACGTTTAGCTGTGTGAAAACCCCAGAGGAACCCACCCGATGGATTAATGAAGTTTTATTTAATATAATCTAATGACTTTAATCTCAGCCAAACCGATTTACTCACGAACAAATCAAACACTGAAAAAAGCCAAACAATAACATTTTTAAGTTATCCGAGTGACTTATATCATGTTTAACCTGAGTAGCGAAAGAGCGCGGTGGGTCTGAAAACGATGAAGCGGGAGTCCGCTGCTCTCGCCGGCTCAGTGACCATTGAACCCGCCGGCTCGCTATCGAGCTGGTGGGTAACAGACGTCTCCGAAAACGTCGGAGCACTTTTGCAAATATGCGATGTCTTGATAAACAGCAGATATTTGAAGTTTACTCAGCTACATTCTCGCCTGAAAATATCTTAAAGGTTTATTTTGTGACCCAGAAAGATTAATAAGAGTAATATTAAAACTTAGGTAGTGGCCGCCATTGTTGAAAACTGGAATTGGCTGGGCCGCGCTATGAATTCTGGGATAGGTTGGGCCACGAAGGACACACCCGACCCATCCTTCAAACCTGGGGAAATGGAGGACGCATTTGTCTATGAATTGGGACAGTCGCTGTGACGTAATCAGTCTACAAATGCGGCCTCAGGAGGAAGCAGCCGACGTTTTGGGACACAGCTCATGTTTCACTGTTGCTATGATGTATCTGAGTTCAGATATTGCAGGACTCCAGTTCATTTTCCACATAGCTGGTAGGTTTGGATTGCTATGTTAACATTAAAATTAGTTTGATGATCAGAAACGTTGAAGTGTGACGTAAATGCTAAAGAATAAGAAATTGGTAAGGAGCCAAATAAATGAGCCATTCAGAGCTTTGACCAGCTGGTTCGTCACCTGTCTCTCAGGTGCCGTCTCTCAGCACACCGGTCGTGGGATCTCGGGGGTTTTCGTGTGTCTGTGTGGATTTTTCTCTGTCTGCTGTAGTAGTTGGACAGAAAACACGCTGCATGAAGGTTACGGCTTGATTTGGACGTCGGTGAGTGAAATCATCATTTGTCCCCGGCAGCCCGACCAATCGCAGCTCCCACAGACTACAGTGAATCTAATTATTCTGAATAAGATGTGAAATAAGCATCAGCCGCTCTCAGTCTGGAGCTGCACAACATCCTCCTTCACAGGCTGAGGATGATGCTGCTAAATTGTGTCCTGAATGTTATGTAGCTATCTGCCACCAGATGGCGCTGCAGTTGTTGATCCAGGCCGACCTTTTAGTTGTTAGTTTGAATGTGGCTTCCTTCAAAAGGCGGCCGACCTTGTTGGAGAGGGGCTCCTGCTCCTCAGCAGAGGGGATCACAGCCTGGGCAAGGTGTTCGGGCCACGCTGCCCCAGGGCTGACCTGGGACACGGGGAGATTACAGCATCGGCCTGGAAAGCCTCCGGCTGCTCAGACCGAGCGTGCACAATGCTCCGCACTTTGACTTATATGAGCTTCTCATATTTTACTAACAAGTGAACATCTTTTTATATCTTATTTGACATCAGTTCTTCTTCTCAGCTGTCTGTTTGGAGGGTAATGTTCATGATAATTGCATTTAAATGATGATGATGAACCTTTTTGTCACCATGGGCACACGCATATTAAAAAAACCTCTATATACATGAATCTGTCTCACAGTGCAGCCGTCACTACAGCGTGGTAAACAGCATTCACCTGTCGGCTGTGGAGCGATTTTTGTATCATCCTCAAACAAAGACGGAGGTCACCACATGGTCACGTGTGTGCACAGACAATGTTTCTTCACAGACATGAGTTCATTTATCAAAATGCTTCTTCCATCAGCTTCTGCGAGGAGTGACCATATCAAACGGAGGGGTTCTACCTCGTATCCACCCAGAGCTGCTCTCCAAGAAGAGGGGAGGCCGAGTGAAAGTGGACAGCCAGGCGTCTGTCACGGACAAGCAGGAGGAACGCTTGAAGAGCAAGAAGCCCACCAAAACCTTCAAAAAGGTTAAAGGCAAACGAGGGCGCAAGCCAAAGGTCAGTGTGCCCAGCAAAGCCATCTGTGATGATGGCGATGAGTCTCTAACCCTTCTTCTGTTAACAGCTGTGTGTTCTGTACATTTGTGTTTGATTTGTTCAATCAGAGAAGAGACAAACCAGAGCTGGTTTAATGCACTCGAGAAAGAACCAGAGTCATTATCATTTGGTAACTTAAATGCTGATTTAAGTGAACGTTTTTCTCTCCATCTGGCAAAGAGCACAGACAATGACAAAGAGGCTGTATCAAACTCCACAGTGGAAGACGGTCCCGGTGATGGATTCACCATCCTGTCAGCAAAGAGTCTCTTTCTCGGACAGAAAGTAAGCCGTGTTAAAAGCCCAGCTGAAAGTCACCGCGTTGTGTTACTGCTCAAAGCTGTTTGTCACTCTGTCTTTGTGAATTCACAGCTTTCATTAACAGAAAGTGAAATGAGTAAAATTGGAACAATCAAGGTGGAGGGAATAATTAACCCAACCAATGCAGAGCTGGACCTCAAAGATGGAGTGGGTAAGCAGCACCGGTTCATGTAACGTGTCTGGTTTCTTTCATGCGTCCTCATGCTGAGCGGCTGCTGTGCTGGTCTTTCAGGCAACGCCCTGGAAAAAGCTGGAGGTCGAGAGTTCCTGGAAGGAGTTAAGGAGCTGAGGAAAGCACAAGGGCCTTTGGAGGTAGCATCAGGTACGCAGCTGCGTCGTCACAGCCACTGAATCACATCCATGTCCACAGTAGGATGTAGCTGATGAGACAGCGTGCTACATGCAAATCTGGGCCTAGTAAATAGAGATCAGCTGTTAGACTGGGCGCAGACACGTTTTTGTCTGAGGCGACGGTGGTCACCCTAACATGCTTTCATCCTGCAGTGGCAGTGAGCCAGGCCAGTGGCATGGCAGCCCGCTTCATCATCCACTGTAACATCCCACAGTGGGGCTCAGAGAAGTGTGAGGACCAGCTCGAGAAGACTGTGAAGAACTGCCTCTCAGCAGCAGAGGAGAAGAAGCTCAAGTCTGTGGCTTTCCCCTCGCTGCCTGCTGGACGGTGAGCTCCATCACACACAGTGTGTCGCCTCATAGACGCGTCTCTTTGGTCCCCGACCGCGACGCCTTTTGTGCATTAGACATGAGTGTAAATGAGCATGTAGCTGTCGACCTCGCCGTGACCGTTACAGTAAGATTGAGTGCAGATCTGCTGATCTCAGCTCGTATTCTGTGTGTATAAATGGGAGGGCACACTCACCCAGGGCCTCAGCTAACAGTGTGGATCTGCACCTGGTCCAGTGTACGTCCAGCTCCACTGATCTGTGTAGCAAAGTGACCGTCAGCCTGCAGACCGAACACGTTTGCAGACAGATTTTTAGCCGTAGCTTTGCCATTTGTTCAGCTATTCTTCATCACAAACAGCTTTGTCGTTTGTCTTCCTCAGTCTCATTTGTCCAACCGTTTCCCACAGGAACGGATTCCCAAAGCAAACAGCCGCTCAGCTCATCCTCAAGGCCATCTCCAACCACTTTGTGTCCTGCACCAGCTCCTCTCTGAAAAACATTTACTTTGTGCTGTTTGACAGCGAGAGCATCGGAATATACCTTCAGGAAATGGCCAAGCTGGAGGCCAAATGAGGATTGCCGGTTTGTGCGTGTGTGTGTGCGTGTGTTTGGGGGCTATTTTTTAACTGTTGTTTGTCACTGTTGGTATAGGTAGGTGGTCCCACAGTAGGGTTTTCCATGTGGAATGTGTTAAAGAAGAAATCTATCTGTGTGTGGAGTGCTGTTCACATTTCTGTTCCACTGTTCCTTCAAAGATCGTATTCTTTCTAGAGTAGGTAATTTAAGTGGGTAGAGTTTGCTCTCTTGGCTCCTCGTTTCACTGTTTTTATATCCATGTACAAATGTAACAGTTCTTTCGCAGCATCGGTATTTTCTGATATATTTAGTTTACTAATTCAAACCTGTGGTTGGCATTCTGCTATGAAATAAAACCGTTTTACACCAGAGGTCTGCTCAGTGTCAGCACCTCTTCTTACCATCTCCTCTCCTTTGTCACAATATTGTTTTAAAGTAGAACAAAGCACAGCTGGAGGCACGGTACACCTTGTGTATATAAGAGGCTTTTTTTGGATTTTAGAAATGCCATTTGATAGAAAACTTCATCTGTGATTCTACCGAAATTCTGTTTCTAACTGATCTGGGTTGCTTTGGCTTCATTCTTGAATGACCTTTAAATTTTGTTACTAGTGCACACTGCAAAGACTCTGTGTTTGTTACAGTTACAACAAATATTGGTTGTATATGTCTTTGTCTCTGTAGTATTTTTTTCCTCAGTTGAACAGTTTGACTCAAAAATAAATTAGCATCATTTCATTTTGTTGTGCAGAGTAGTCCATCCAACTGTCAAACCTGCTGTGGTCACAGTTGTAACCACCAGTACGAATACTGGAAAATGTACAGGGCTCAGCGCAAATGACAACTGTGAGAAGCTGCTAAGATGAAACATGTTGTGGTGCCACAGCGATCGATCAGGGATGAAGATAAAAGGGACAAAAAAGTTATTTTGCATATACATATACGTATATACACACTAGGGCTGCCACGATTGGTCGACTAATCACGATTACGTCGACTATCAAAATCATAGTCGATGCGTCGTTTGAAGCTTTGTAAGATCCTGAAAGACGCAGGAATAAGTAGCAGGATTTAAGAGTGTAATAACGGACTGCAACAGAAGATGGCAGCACTGCATGTACAAGGATGCCAGCTGCCATTAAACCCCGAAGAAGAAGAAGCTGTGTCAGGGGCTGTGTCCCAATTCAGGGTCTGCACGCTTTTTTTAAATTTTTTATTTATTTATCACATTTTAGACATACAGTCAAGTAAAACAGGGATCACATAAAAGATGACATTGTGGTAGTACAATGAAGAACAGAAAGAGTGACAAGGACAGTGAGACAAAAGTGAGTACAAAAAAATAAAATAAATTAAGGGGAACATAAATAAACAAAAGTTTGCAAGAGCCAAAATCAAGTTAGTTTCAAAAGGTTACAGGTGTTAACAGTCTTGAGAGCCTTCGTGTTTTTTGATGAGGAGATTGTCCTTATATATTGTGCAAGTTCCATTTTTAATACAAGAAGTTCAGGCTTTCTGCCGAGGACTTTGCTTTTGTGTATGTGAAATTTTGCCAAAAATAAAACCAAATTTATAAAGAAGAAAGCATCATTGTCCTTGTCTTTAAAATTATAATAGCCAAAGATAACATCCTTATAGTATAGTTGAAGATTAGGGAGAACAAAGTCAGTAATAAACTTGTGGAAATCCTTCCAGAATTTACACGTAAATTTACATGACCAAAACAGATGAGAAACTGTTTCAGGTTGCTCTTAGAGAACAATGGCTGTGTCCCAATTCAGGGTCTGCACGCTTGAAGTACGCATTTTAAGTGCGGTTAGTTACCGCCACGCGACGACGGCTGTCCAATTCGAAGTGTACTTCAAATGCATACTCCAAATGCGCCGTCGATTTCCCCAAATATCAAGCGTGGTCCGGTGCACGCTTCGTGGTCCCATATATCCCACAATTCCATAGCGCGGCGGTGGGTGTGGATAATTTTGCTGCAAAATACGGCAGACAGAAGGAGCGGCCGAAGAGTGAACTGTCAAAAGTAGAGGCGGAGCAGACATTGGAAACACCCGGGGCTTAGCCCAAAGGGTAGTATGCATGTGGGATTTTTGGGGTGTAGAAATGACTGAAAGATTAATAGGCTCTGTTTTGAGTTTTGTTCAAAAAAGAATGACTTCATATAGGGAAAAATATATATCACATGTGCAGGACACCTTAAACTAGTTTTTTAATTAAGCAGCAAGGCAGAACAAAGTCAGGGCTGTATCAAGACACGAGGACTAAACCCCAATTCAACCAGACCCAGAACTGATCCGGAATTAAAACAGGACTACAACAGTTCAAAATCAGGACTACTGAGGACTTAACCAAGACAGAACCAGAATCAGAACTAGATGATAGTAGCACTAAAAATCATCATAGACCTGCACTACACTTATTTTTTAATTCTACCAAAGTACAATATTTAGATTGAGAAAAGTTTATATAATTATTTAGCCTTGTTGTGCAAACAAGCTGCATAACTTAATAAATATAGAATTTGAAAAATAACAAACCTAAAAAGAAACACTAGGTACGAGATACATGAGTACCTATGATACGGTGATACTTTTGGTAAACAACCATTTGACTAACATGTGTGTCTCACCTGCTCTTGTTCATCTCTGTTCTGTCCTCATCTCCTCTCTCTCCTCGTTTCCCTTTGTGCTGACAATCATCAAATATACAGATATTTACAAACTCTTCAGATAAAAACACAAACACTTTTTTAATTGTAACATCAAATCAGACTAAATGTTTATTTTTTTAGATTGATAAATATAAAAAACATATTTGTTAACTTCAAATAGAGGACTCACTGTATCTTATTGAGACTCCGTTCTGTTCCTGGTGTTTTGGTTGACATCTCTTGATGTTCCCATGTCACAGAAACAGGCTCTGTGTTTTGCCTTATATGCATCCACAGCTGTGCCACCATTTACTCACATGGACTCTACGAACCTATCAGAAGCTTCTTCAGCTCAGAATGGAATCGTCTGGAGTTTCTTATTAATTAACAATAAACTTAGTGTACATGTACTCCTAAATTTGATGAAAGTGATAAAAATAGACAGCTCTGTCTCTCTTTATTCTGACATTTAACTAATTCAAAAGATATTTCAATATTTATCTAAAACAAAAGTTTACTCTAAATTGATGTTGTACAGTAAAAATGTTTTATGTTTTATCCCTAAAGTGTATGTAAATATCTGGTTACAAATGTGAATATCCTGCTGTGTACTGAAATCCCTCTTGTTTTGCATAGAAATATACTGAACAACATACAAAGCATAATATATAAAATAACATTTACCTGAGTTTTTTCTTTGAAAGAAGCCTCTAATGTCCATTCTTATATTTCAGTACATAACTGAAACCGATTTAGTCGGGGAGGGTAAGAACTGAAAATATGAAATAAACACACGTAAGCTAAGACTCTAAAAAAATAGCATTTGTTCGGCTTTTCATTTCGCCATTTGTTGATTCACTTGAAGAGCAAGTAACGTAATATTGGTCAAGTGATCAGTTTGATATCAATCTTTCGTGATGCACCGTCATATTTACATTATTTGTACGGTACGAATGATTTGCTTTGGTACCTGGTCAAACTTAAGCTCTCCTTAGTATGGCTGGCTCCGTCTCTCCAACAGCGCACTCACGGGCAGCAGCTGCCCCGCCCCCTCGCTCAGTCGCTTAGTGCCTGAGCTTGGATCATACCAATATCAGGGGGGGATTCACGCACAGTCGTAAATTCCCACAGTGTGCACTATGTGCTTCGAATATTGTGTGTACTTTTTGTTTTATACAGTTGTCAGCCAGGCATCTAACTATGAAAAAATTACACTCCAAAACCCCGGGCTTAAGCCCAGTAAGCCACCCCCACGCTCCGCCCCTGGTTAGTAAGACTGAATATGACGTCACTTATTTAAGTGAAGATTTAAGGTGATAGGAAATATAAATAAATGCAACTTGAATCTTTACTGAAGCTCAGTGTTTGGCACAGAGTTCATGTTCACTGCTGTAATAACTAATAATGATTAATATAATATTGGCCATATTATATTTACATTACCAAAGTGAGATGACTTTAGTCTCATGAACAAGATTAGCTAATTGTTATTTACTAGCTAATCTTAAATGACTGTTCAGTACAGAAATGAAGCCCAACAATCATGTTTTACAGTCCTGTGGTCTCAACCTCAGATACTTAAAATCAAGTGATGTCAGAAAAATGAATAACAAAACCTTCATTTCTGTCAAACAAAGCTGTATGTAAACGTGTCTCGCGGTTAGTATCATGGTTGCTAGGCAACCTGAACAGCGCGACGAAGCGTATACCGTCCCATTTCACAAGCCTCACTTCGCACTTCGTACAAGGATGCCAGCTGCCGTTAAACCCCGAAGAAGAAGAAGAAGCTGTGTCCCAGAATTCATAGCGCAGCCCAGCTCAGTTTCCAACAATGGCGGCAGCTAGTTAGTTTTAATATTACTCTTATTATTCTTTCTGGGTCACAAAATAAACGTTTAACATATTTTCAGGCGAGAATGTAGCTGTGTAAACCTCAAATATCTGCTCAGTTTATCAAGACACCACATATTTTCAAAAGCGCTCCGACGTTTTCGGAGACGTCTGTTACCCACTAGCTCGATAGCTAGCCGGGGGCTAGGCTCACTAGAGCCGTGAGAACACCGGACTCCCGGCAAATCGTTTTCAAACCCACCGCCGTCTTTCGCTACTCAGGTTAAACATGATATATGAGTCACTTAGATAACTTAAAATGTTATTGTTTGGCTTTTTTTAGTATTTTATTTGTTCCTGAGTAAATCGGTTTGGCTGAGATTAAAGTTATAGTTTTTACACAGCTGAATAAACGTCAAGCAGACAGCTGATTATCAGAAGTGTGAGATGCTCGAGAATATACTCCGGTGTCCTGTTATATTTTAGATAGCAAGGAGTTTATTAAACTTCACCGAAACAATCTGCAAATTTCATTAAAATTTAATAAACTATCATCTTGTCTTTATTTTTAGTTAGCACATACCTTAAACACTTAAAGCTGTAAGCTAATGATAGTTATATAAGAGCAGATGCTGCTGGTGCAATAAGCTGTACGTTTTACGTCCAATGGATGATGATCTGATTAGTCGACTAATCGCAAAAATAATCGGTGACTAGTCGACTATCAAAGTAATCGTTTGTGGCAGCCCTAATACACACACAATAATGTTATATGTTAGTTATCCCAGTTGTATTGCAACATATCAAAAATGTGAGACACACCACACCAGGTAAGTCCCCAGGTGCAGGCTGTGTAAAGATGCCCCTGAGACAATCCAGCACATAACAGCAGGGTGCAAGATGCTAGAAAGCAGGGCATACATGGAACGCCATAACCAAGTGGCCGGCATAGTGTACAGGAACATCTGTGCCGAGTATAACCTGGAAGTCCTGAGGTCAAAATGGGAGACGCCCCCAAGGGTGGTGGAGAATGACCGAGCTAAGATCCTGTGGGACTTCCAGATACAGACGGACAAAATGGTGGTGGCTAACCAACCGGACATAGTGGTGGCAGACAAACAGAGAAGACGGCCGTAGTGATCGATGTAGTGATATCGAATGTGTTGTTGCTTTTGCTTAATCCCTTCATTAAGAGTATTTTTCCGTGTTCTTTCAGAATTAAAACATAAGCAGACACCAGGAGGAGCACTTTCTTACAACATATTTATTACATAGTAAAAAGTACATTACCTTTCATTTATATACATTAGACATTATATTCACGGAATTTCCTGTTCAAGTCACAATCAGCTTCTGATAAATCTACGATGCCATCCAACAAATAAACACTCAGCTTACATGTTGGTGGCTCTATAAGGCCGTAGTGTTACCTGACTGACACACATACACTGCATCTATGCCATCGTACTGCAGCAGCTCAGTCCACTTTCAATAAATAACACAAAACATCCGTGAGAGAAGCCCAGGACTGCTGTGAATGGTTTCCAGTCAGTTTGACAT